GAAGATTTTCTGTTAACCAGACCAGATCTGTTAACATGGGAAGGAATTAAAATTGCCCTTGGCCAAAAATTAAGCAACCCGCTTACCAGGTCAAATTTACAACAACAACTAATATTCTTTTCTAGAAAAAGTGAATAAACTCAAGAATACATTCATAAACTCAAAGCCTTAGTCACCCAAATTAGTACTAAGATCTGTGTAGAAGTTCCAAACTTAGAAACAGGTAACATATTACTTGCCCAAAATGAATTGACAGCTACTCAAAATCTTTTAGCCAACATTTCATCTGAATTAAGAACGTTACTAATTGTACAGAATCCTCAAAATCTAAATCAAGCAACTGACATCATTACATACTATAAAATTTTAATGAATCAGAACAGTTTCAAAAACAATTTTGTTCAAAATCAAAACAAACCCCTTTTCAAACTTTTAAACAACACAGCACATTGTGCAACGAATTTTCAAAAGCCAAGCATCTTCCAATTCAAATCCCCATTTCAACAAAATCAACCCTTTCAAACAAGACCATCACAACCTTTCCAAGTCAAACCAAATCAACCTTTTCAGAATCAGTTTCAAATGAGACCAAATCAACCTTTCCAAAATCAAAGTCAGCACTTTCAAACAAGGTCAAATCAACCTTTTCAATTAAAGCAAAACAACCCTTTCCAACCCAATCAATTTAAACAACAATTCCCACAACCAATGTCTGGAGTAAGTACAATTCCAACCCATCGAAATGATACTCAATTCTATAGGAACTCGAATCCACAAAGACCGTTTAACCATTTCCAAACAACCGGAAAGTCGAACTTCTCTTTTCGAGAAATAAGACATCTCGAAGATGAAATTGATGAAGAAAATTACGATTTTCAACAATATGACAATTAATTCGAAATAAACGACCCATCTGAAAACACATATGAATATGATGAATTTGAAAAAGCTTCTTCAGAAGAGAACCCAATTGACTAACTCGAAAATTTTCAAACACCCAGTCGAAGAGAAAACCCTGGATAAATTTGAATAGTCTTCAAACAAACCACTTACCGTACATCAAAATTCCTAATTACAACATTCGC